GTGGAACAATAAAAAGAGGCAGTAGTAAAAGAAGAGATGCATGGTGGAATGATGAAGTGAAAGAAGCTGTAAAGAAGAAGAAGAAAGCATGGTTAGACTACTTGGCCTCTAGTAATGATAAGGATATGAGAGAGAAGATGAAAGAAAGATATAGGCTGCAGAAAGTTCACACGAAAGCACTGATTGAGGAAGTGCGTGAAAGGTGCAGAATGGAAGCGGACGAAAGGTTGTCGCACTACTTTAAGGAGAACTCCAAACTCTTCTGGAAAGAGGTTGGAAGGACCCGAAGTGGTGCGACGGCCTTAAGAATGAACAAAGTGCTTTCGAGAACTAATGACGTCCTCTCAGAAAAATCGGTGCAACGATGGAGCGAATTTTATAGAGAAATGTATGCGTGTGATGATCTTAGTGAGGGATCCGGGGATGACGCCGTGACTGGTACGCCAGATCCGGACCTCGATGACACTGAGGTCATCAGGATGAAAGAGATTGAACGTGCGATTCGAAGTTTGAAATGTGGTAAGGCTGCGGGACTAGACAGAGTTACTGCTGAAATGGTCAAGTATGGTGGGCCTCGCGTCTGGGACAGCTTTCATCTGCTGTGCAATTTGTGCTGGCGGACGGGAGATGTCCCGGATGATTGGCGATCCGCAGTCATTGTGCCTTTATATAAAGGTAAAGGTTCACATTTTGACTGCGGGTGCTATCGGGCGATCAGCTTGACCAGTTTAGCAAGTAAAGTTTACTCGAAGGTTTTGACACGTAGGATGCAAGAGAAATCGGAAAGATTTCTATGGGAGGCACAACGCGGATTTAGACCTGGAAGAGGATGCACGGATAAAATGTTTTCTCTCCGCATGATCGCGGAGAAGCTTCTGGCTGTTAACCGGAAGATTTTCTGTGCTTTTGTGGATCTTGAGAAAGCATTTGATAAGGTTGTAAGGAAGAAAATGTGGGAACTGTTGCCGGGGTATGGTGTGGATGGTCGATTGCTAAGGGCTGTGCAGTCTCTTTACTGTGACTGTAAAGCCTGTGTGCGGGTAGGGCATGACCTGTCACCCATGTTTAACGTCCAAACGGGCGTAAAGCAGGGTTGTGTCATGTCTTCCTGGCTGTTCATACTGTATCTCGACAGCTGTTTACAGAAGCTGAAAGATAGTTGTTTGGGTGTGAAATTGGGTGACATTAAAGTAAATTGTCTGCTGTATGCTGATGATGCAGTGCTTATTGCGCCATCAGAGGCAGAACTGCAGGCATTAGTCACGTGTATGAAAGAGGAATGTGAAATTAAAGGTCTCCGTTTGAATGCTAATAAAACTAAGGTTCTGGTATTTGAAAGGGACGAAGAGAGAACGAAGTGTGAAATATGGGTAAATCAGGAATGTCTAGAACAGGTAAATGAAATTGTATACTTGGGGAGTGCTTTTAGCCGGGATGGAAGATGTGATTTAGATGTGGACAGGCGTGTCGCTGCCGGGAACAAAGTCAATGGTGCCCTGACTGCGTTAGTCAAAAGGCAAGGCGTAGCGAAGAATGCACGCCTTGCAATACATAATGCAGTGTTGGTACCGACTTTGTTATATGGCAGCGAAACCTGGGTATGCCAGAAGAAGCATAAAAGTAAGTTGAATGCAGTGGAGATGCGATCTCTGCGTAAAATGTGCGGCGTTACCATGGCCGACCGAAAGCGAAACGAAGAGATTCGCAATATGGCAGGTTTGAAAGATGACCTTATCACAAAAATTGATAAGGGCGTGCTTCGGTGGTTTGGGCACGTTGAGCGAATGAGTGAAGACCGAATGGTGAAGAAAATATATAGCGCGAAAGTTAATATTAAAAGTGTGTTTTTATTAAGATTGTGCGTGAAGATAAGTACAATATTATTTGCTGACGACATTTCTATATTAATACCAAAAACAAATTTTAATTCTAGTTGTAATAAAGAATATGAAAATGAAATAAATAATACAATTGAAAATGTTGTTGATTGGATTAAGAACAATAATCTAAGTATAAATCTATCTAAAACTAAATTTATGCAATTCTACAATGTTAACAGTAAACCGCAATTACTTGACATTAAGTATGTTGTAAAAAGTATGATGAAAAAATTACTGTCACTGAATGTACCACATTTTTAGGTATAAATTTAGACAAACACTGTAATTGGAAAGGTCACGTTGATAAAGTTTGTTCTAAAATATTTAAATTTAATTTTGCTTTACGTAGACTAGCTTCAATCTCGTCAAGAAACACTTCTTTTGTAGCATATCAAACATATGTTGCTGCTGTATTAAGATATGGTCTCATATTATGGGGAAACTCGACAGATGTGAACCGTGCTTTTATAGCGCAAAAACGCTGTATACGAGCAATCTGTGGCGTCGGGCCACTTGTTTCTTGCAAACCACTATTTAAAGAATTAGATGTTCTTACTCTGCCATCCATGTACATTTTTGAGCTCTCAATATTCGTAAAAAAGTATCCTCATTTTTTTACTAAATTAAAAGATACAGTGAAATTTAGTACCAGATACCCCGAAAAAATTATTTTGCCGTCATTAAAAACTAGTCTGTACTCAAAAAATTGTTATGTGATGGCTATTCAAGTGTTTAACAAAATCCCAAATGAAATAAGGCAATTAGATTATAATCGATTTAGACGTAATGTATTAAAGTGGCTTTTGAAAAAACAATTTTATTCGGTAAATGAACTGCTAAAAATAAAAGAACGTTTCTAGTGACTGTTAAAACGCTTTTTCTTCTTTGGTCGTGTTTAAAATTGTTAATATCAAAATTGTAAACTGATGCACGTTTAGTTTTAGTTAAATATATTGTATTTTCTAATCATAAGTTTTCATATACCAAAATTGGTGAAATATGTGATACTTTATTATTTCATACGAACATCTTTGTATCATATTTCTTATGAATAAATTTATTATTATTATTATTACATAAACACTCACGCCTGTCACCCAGAGGGGTAGGCAGAGACTATGGACTTCCATTTGGCACGATCCTGACACACCTCTCTCGCCTCCTCCACATCCATATACCTACGCATACATGCTCGTCGGTTAAAGGTACTCTTGATTTGGCCCATTTTCAATATATCGCCAATTTGGTCGATAAACTTTCACCTAGGGCGACCCTTCCCGACTCTGCCGTTCACCTCTGCAACATAAATTTGCTTTGTCACTCTTTCCTCATTCATTCTTTCTACATGACCAAACCACCGAAGCATTCCTTTTTTAATCCTGGTCACAACATCATCTTGCAAACCACACTCTTCTCTTATGCATACCTGGAGTATAGAGCATATATGGAGTACCTACTCTCTTCTTAAACTATCGACGTCCTCGTTACATGAAAATTGTAACACTTATGCATGAAATAAACTGAAGTATATAGTGAAAACATGCGCGTTTACGCTAGACTCCTTTGGTAAAAATATTATATTTATATAACAAACGCAGACGTATATTTAAGAAACGAAACGAACGAATCTATACAAATAAATAAAATTGAAGTGTATATTTGTAATGTCAAAATAACAGCTTTTTACTAAATGCATATGAAAGTATGTACGGTATTTATAATAAAAATCTAATTTTTAAAATTTTTGTCTGTCTGTCTGTCTGTTTGTTCCAGCTAATCTCCGAAACGACTGGACCGACGGGACTTTCACTGGCAGATAGCTGATGTTATAAGGAGTAACTTAGGCTACTTATATTTTAGAAAATAAATAGGGTTCCGCGCAACATAATTAAAACCCTAAATTACACGCAGGCAAAGTCACGGGGAACAGCTAGTATAATATAAATTTATATTTCTTTATATAATTCTCAAAAAGGGAATAAAAAGACATTAGCCACATAAAAATATAAGTACATGATATAAAATATTTAAATACCATTAGTACTTCTCTTCTTATAACTCCTTAGGTAAAGTGCGACAATTTTATACATTTGTATACAAAATAAATATTGAATGAGTTCAAAATCAATAAAGAACTGCTTCTCTTACTATTTTATTATAGGGTGTATTTTAATCCATATCTAATTATTAATTGTAACTCGAGACATAAGTGGTTATAATACGTTAACTAAACTGTTGATGGCGCAAATTTACATTATAACCTAAATATTATTGTCAGCCAAATGTTTTTTATAGAAGTGCAGTTAAAAACGAACACACAATCCACCCGATGGTAAGTTGATGTACTATATAGGCATATATACATGAATGAAAATAACCCCTGGGAATAATGTGATCGCCACCATGCTGGTCCTATGAAAATTCATTTAAAAATTGTATAAACAAAATTATTGTAAAGTGAAATATGTTTTAAAAAAAAAGGTCCCGCTGGGTTTCTTACTGGGTCTTCCCAGGACAGAGGTATTTTCCGAACCAGTGGTAAATAAAAAATGACTTTCAATAAGTATTATGTAATAATCAATATTGAATAAAAAATCATCCTATTCTATTCTATTCTATTCTAGACATACAAGTGACACATCTGTATAGATGTATTCTCTATACAGATGACACACAATAGGTATGTACATCTCTCCTTGGTTAAGAATCAAGATGCGTTGTCACCTCTGAAGATTGAGATCGATGAATCGTTACCAGTAATTATATATTACATATATAATCTATACATATAATATCAATGTAGTGATTGTGTCATTTAAAAAAAATTATGTCCCAAAACTTTGTTACGATTTATAATTGATTTTTCGTATGAATCTTAATTAAAAATTTGTTTGTCTGTGTGTATGGGCAGATTTAAATCTTTCATGCATAAAATTTACTTGACCGCTGTTTGAAGTTCTTTTTTTATTAGAGATGGCAGTATGCCTACTTCTTTCTCCTTGTTTTACTCAGTTTATGTACATATATCTGTCTCTCACTTAGTCATTTAATTATACCAAATAAAAAACCTAAATTGAACGTGTAGGAGACAATTTTCATATTTATTGTAATTTGTTTCAGGTTGTACTATTTGGACAAGGTCGTGCAAATGATTATCTACTGTTTGTGCGTTTACTTCATCTACTATTACGTGATACGGATCTTTAGTTAGGGTTGTTTTAAGCAATATTGTTTTATTTGCACATAATTATGTAACTAAATTTATAGAATATAATGATTTGTTACTAGTAACTAGGTTACGGTTGTTATTTCATTTACTGGGAATAGAAATAATGAATTTACGAATTCAAACAATGATAATGTTGTATACTTGAATATCTTGTAACTTAAATATTAAATGACGAGATGTATTTATTCTGAAATGTAATTATAATTTATACAATAGATAGCAACATATACCTTTTTCCATGACATTATTATCATTATATTGTTATTCTATTCGGAATGGATTCAGAGGAAGAACACGTAGACTTTATGAAAAACCTTTTTAAGGCTTAAACAGTTATTTAATATGAAATACATGAACTTAGTAGATCGATCACACTCCATTGATGTGGTATTGATATATCACCGCAACTGCCGATCATCGGATAAACTCTACTGACCAATCCAACTTGAGTGACCTACACCTCTGCTCATATGTTGGAGGGTTTGTTGGTGAGTGTAGTGCTGACATTACATATATTTTACATATTATGTAAATAATTGTCTCATCAATATAGTTCTATTGTCTCTGAGTTTCTAATTAACTATTTCCCATTTAATTAATTTTGTGTCTTTTGCAAATTAAATAAACTGATTTAAAGCTTAATCAGTTTATTTAATTTTTCTGCAAAAGATATAAAATAGGCTTTTATATAAAGTCTCATATTGTTTGAATTCAATATTGATAATGTTTACAATATGCTAAACGAGAAAAATTATATTTATGAAGTGTTCTTTATTATTAGTCTAATTAATATTTATTTTGGTTATCTTATTAATGTGACTCAATGTATATATCTATTTCTTTTGTTAAACAAGAATCGAAATATAAATAAATTAACTAAAAGCACTACATTTTATATTTTTGTATCCTTATCAAGATTCTTAGTTTCGATTTTTTAATTAACAGAGAATTGTTTAATAAGACATTCTTTACATATAACCAAACAAGTACTATGGAAACAATCGTTATCAGCAATCGTTAGAGTCCATTGCTGTGGAGCGTTTGTTGTATTGAGGATTTGGTCTTAATCGCCACGCTTGGCAAGTGATTAGCGTACAGACACCAGACACCAGATATTTCGCAACTTTTTATTTTATTTTAAAGGGAATAAGAATGACAAGCGAATACACAGATTCCGAAAAACTAGTTTTATTTAAATGTGTAGTATCCTCGTAAACATAATTTCTTATGTTATCGCTAAGTGATTATACAGTTCATCTGTTAGTAATTGTATGTTCCACCCCAAAGATATCTACTTTTTTTACTTTTAATAAGCCAGTGCTTGACAACGATCCCACCTGATGGTAAGTAGTGATGCAGCGTTAGATGATAAATCACCCTGTCTTAGCGTAACAAAAGCCTATTCACTCTTGCCTTGAAGACGACCAGATTGTATTTGGACGGAAAGACGCCGGCAAATTATTCCACTTCTTTGCTGTATGCATTACAAAAGTTGAAGCAAACCGTTACTTATGCGTGGAATATCGACAACAACGGGGTGAAGACCCGCCGAGCGCCTGGTTTTTAATAGAGGCATCTGTATTTTTATTCTGATCAACGACCCCAGTTTAAGAATAAAAATACAGATGCATGTCATCCCGGGGGGCTAAGATGGAATACCTCGTTAATGAGGGCATCCACGACTTTTTCTGCCACCAGGGCGGCGCTACTTAAAAGTGAGGTATAATATTTAACAGATTTCATAGCGGGGAAGTCATTTTGTTCGGAAAAGTTTCTTTCTGTACTTTTAGTTTTTTTTTATAGGAGAGGGGGCAAACGAGCATGCGGCTCACCTGAAGGTAAGTGACTACCGCCGCCCATGAACAGCTGCAACACCAGGGAGGGAATCGCAGATGCGTTGCCGGCCTTTTAAAAAGGAGTACGCTCTTTTCTTAAAGGTCCCTAAGTCGTATCGATCCGGAAAAATCGCTGATGGTAATCGATTCCACAAGGAAGTCGTGCGAGGAAGAAAACATCTTCTAAATTGCACAGTGGTGGACCGCCAATCATCCAGATGGTGTGGATGGTATCGGGAGTTCTGCCGCGATGTGCGTTCGTGAAATTTGGCGCAATTCCTCAGAGCACTCCCCGTTAGCTATATTTATATTAATAAGATTATAAATAAATAAACCAAGCATTAAAAATTGCAAAAAAAAATAAAGGGCAAACTACTGAGGCATTTTTATGTATTAATTTAATACTGTGGAAATTAATAATCTTTAATTAAAAACTAACTTCTCAAATAAATGACATTGTGTAACAAAAAGCTTAAATAACATTGTGTAACAAAAAACAAACCTCAGTGTCAACTAGCGACATCTGGTGAGCAGAAAATTATTAGCCCTCATGGCTCGTTACTAGTGAAATAAAATTAAATGAAAATTCGTTATCCTTTCGATATAAGTAATTAAAATTCTATTTCGAAAACATTAACATATTTTTTATCAACTACCGTTTCCAATTGAGGTTCCTCTACCTCGGTGAAGAAACAGCGAAGGAAACTTCGCAGGTATCATATTTATTATCATTTTTAAATAAAATAAAAAAAGTTTGTTTAAAAAAATTATCTTATTTTCTTAAACAAACGTTAAAATGGAATTGACCCATGGGTAACCAAAGTACGTTCTATAACAAAATTATACAAGACAACAAATAAACGTGTTATAAAATAAAAACGATCATCTGTTCTCTACACTCACTATACGAAACATAGCATTATTCGAAAACGATTATATCATAATATATTATTTAGACAGTATTTCATGCTAGCACACCGCCTGCAACTTTACAAGGCGCAGGTTCGGCCTCACATGTAATACTGTTCCCAACTCTGGGCTGGGGCTCCCCAGTGCCACCTCCACTTGACAGCATCCACCGCAGAGCGTATATTGCCCCAAGAATGAATTACAGACTCTGTGGAGTCCAGAGACTGTTACCACTAGCTTGTGTTTGTTCCTAGTGTTTAGAGAATGTATATCACTTTTTTTACTAAAACTACCTTTGTTTTTGTGAACATACATTAAATTTTCGTAAATATACTGAGATGCCAAAGTTAATATATTTATTTCTTTAAATTTTTCTCTAAGAGACTCTCTCGGTTTAAGGTTGTAAATATCTCTTATGGCCCTCTTCTGCCAGATAAAAATAGTTTCTAAATCAGCCACATTTCTCCATAGCAAAATCCCATAAGACATTATGCTATGGAAATAACTGACATAAACTAATCTAGCAGTCTCAACACTAGTGAGATTTTTAATCTTTTTTACAGCATAAGCTGCAGAGCTTAGTCTGCTTGCTACTTTGGATACATGGGGGACCCACTGAAGCTTCGTGTCGAGAGTGATGCCAAGATAAACAGAGGATTCAACAGGGCTCAGTTCTTTCCCATTTAAAAACACATTGGTATTCAACTTTTAACATTCGTTATTGTAAATTTAATATATTTAGTTTTATTGCCATTTAAATTCAGACTGTTAACGTTAAACCAATGCACTAATCTTGATATAGCATTATTCACTTCGTCACTTCAACAAAATCAAGGAAGTATCATCAGTAAATAATACTATATCATGATTATCCCCTACAAGAAAAGGTAAGTCATTAATGTACACTAAAAATAGGAATGGGCCAAGAATCGATCCCCGAGGGACACCCATCTTTACGGACGACCTGGAAGAACTTTTACCATTGATAATAACTTTCTGCATTCTATTACTTAAATATGAAATAATAAGTTTAAGCTCTGTGTTCTTGACACTATAGTGATGTAGCTTCCTGATTAATGTCTCATGAAATTAATTAATGTCTCGTGAACACAGTCGAAGGCCTTGGAAAGGTCACCAAATACACACAAAGCATCCTTTGAATTCTGTCATGCACAAAAAATGTGTTTTATAAGTCTAAAGGGGCGTGCAATAAAGTCTTAAAAAATACACAGCTGATGCCGCTAGCTCAATAAATTGCGATAATTATATGATACTAGCTTTTTACTTGCGGCTTTGCTTGTGTGTGCTTGAATTTAGTAATATCATTAAATGCTGTTCCGTACCAAATTGAGAAAAATTCGATCACTTTTAGAGTCAAATCGGTGTCTATGTCTCTACGTCTGTCAAAGATTTTTTTTTCGTTCTCAAATACTATTAGACGTAGATGATTGGTAACATGCTACAGAAACACGTGAATATATATGCCTAGAAACACCTACTATTTTTTATATCAGGCGTGTCTTCCGATTTCGATGTATCCATAAGAAAGGTAAAGTCTTGAAATCAAAATGTATTATGATTATTTACATTTTACTCTTTACATTTATTCATTTTTAACGTTAATTTAGTTTTAACAAAGTAATCTAATGTTTATTTGAGACATTTTATTCATATCACTGGTCCTATTTAATATTGATTGGCACCATAAATTAGATGTAGATATTTTTTTTAAATTCGAGTAGACTTGAAAATTTCATAAATACAGTTCTATAATAACAAAGAAAATATACACTACGCGAAATAAAAATGAATGCTACACATGGTTTAAAACTAATGTTATGGGTTTTTTACGCATCTTGGATGAAAGTTCCGAGTAAAAGAACATATCGTTGATGTGAAGCACCGAAGCTCTGGGAAGTCTAAAGTATGTCAACATGCAGTATCGTCCCAACCATTATATCGGATCTAATAGACAACAAATCCTTGCAATAGAACACCGAATCCTACCAATGATGATCGCGAGGCTATTGAAATTAAAAACATTCTAATTTTAATAGGGAAGATGGCTGAGTGCTACCATCTGCTAAGGACCCCATAATTAATAAAATTAAATTTAAACTACTACTGCATTTATTCTATTCTATTTTAACTATGATATCAGGCCATCAAACATCTCAATTCTCCCGCCCCTCCCGTGACCATGGACCACCACTTTACAGCTAAAGTGCCCAAAACATC